TGCGGGCCGAGGTGCCGTACCTTCAGGTGAGGACACTAGACGCCAAGGGGACTTTGGCTGAAGGAGAGACACGATCTCCTTGAGGGTTTCAAGACTCCCCCAAGGAATTCTAAAGAAGAGCAGTTTGGAGGAGGGAGATGAGTGCACTGAGGCACTGGGAGGTTGAGTCTTTGTTCAGGGTCACACCACTGGTAAAAGGCAACATTGAGCACTGAGGCGCACTGGTTAGACAGCCATCCCGAGGTCACTTGGCTGCAGGGCCAGGGAAGGGTACAGAGAGGCATGAGCCCATCAACCTCCCTTTCCCCCATGATCGCATTCTTTAAAGGCCTGCCTGCCTTTTCCCGCAGAGTCCCAGGACTGCAGAAGCACTGAGGGAAACAACACTGGTATGTAGAGGGTGTCCTAGTCCCTTACTGACCCTGATTGACACCCAGATGTTGTCTGGATTGTGGTGCCCTGGGACTCTTATCTGCTGTTTTCAGAATCCTAAGTTGATGTCAGGGGTTATATGAAAGTGTTCCCATTCCTGTCAACCAACATAAATGAGTGTTTAGGGTTAACCGAGGAGCGGGTACCAGGATGTGCAAATACATGGAGGTAAATCTGAGCGAGGGGTGTTCAGGAACCACAGGTCTCCTTTTATGAAAGAACAAAGAGCAGGGGGACAGGTGTCAGGACAGGAATGACTGCCTGAAAAATTGGGCGTCTATTCTGGACGTAATGGGAGGTTGGATTAGAGGAGAGATACAAAGTTAGGAAAGTCAAAACAGGCTCCTGACTAAAGCAGAGAACAGACCATGGGAATGAGGGAAGCACAAGGGAAATCAGGGCAGAGGCTACTACCATAGACTAGTGAGGGTTAGTTGACCAGGACTGTGATTTAGGGTGGTTGCTTTTCTGGATGCAACCGTGGGATGCATGTTTTAAAACGGGAAACTAGATTTTCTTTTTTTTAAGATTTTATTTACTTATTTGACAGAGACATAGCGAGAGAGGGAACACAAGCAGGGGGAGTGGGAGAGGGAGAAGCAGGCCTCCCAGCGAGCAGGGAGCCTGATGCGGGGCTCAATCCCAGGACCCTGGGATCATAACCCGAGCTGAAGGCAGACGCTTAACGACTGAGCCACCCAGGCGCCCCGGGAAACTAGATTTTCTAATGTGGGTGGTGAGGGAGAGAAACGGAGATATCAGGGATACCCCCAGCGTGTTTGATCTTTGCAGCTGTAGGAATGGAAGTTCCAACTGAGAGGGGGGAAGTTGGTAGTAGGAATAATATTCACCGGGGATATTAGGAGCTTTGTTTTGGCCATGTTTAGATTCTGAGGTATTTCAGAGACCGCTGAGTGGAGGCATCAGATTGGCAGCTGGAAACACAAGTTGAGAAATCAAAAGAGTGGTTCAAATTGGAGACATTCAAAATGTGGTATTTACTGTGTGGACCCACGTAAGTAACCTGTCGTTATATTTAGGAGGTATAATCTTCTTGTTAACTGGCGTGAAGATGTTCATAGGCCAGGAAATAGAGGGTAGGGGCTGAGCACTGGGTCTCTCACTTGAGTACCTGAGTGACGGTATTGTAATTCATAAATGCTGGTGAGGGAGGTATGTGTGCTTAAAGGTAGGGTGTATTAGACAGACTAGTCTAGGAGGTGGCCAAGGCTTAAGATAAGAATGGACATGAGAGAGATGCAGAGACAAGGGGTAGTTGAGGCAAGATGTCATTCAGGCCAAAGCTCTTGCTTATTCATGTCTCTGTGGATTCACAATGGGCACATTTCGGCTGTTTCTTCACCAGTCTTGACACTTGGCCTACTTGTCAACTCTACATGTCACTTCTGCTCTTAAACCCTTTGCGGGACCAGTCCCTACCTCTCTGGACTCCACGTCTTAACCTGCTTTTCTCACTGCTCCATCTGCAGTGCTTCCCAGCAGTGACCTCTACATATTTTGTCATGAGGTGTGCATATATCTTCAAATAGTCCTTGAACATGAGCAACTCTGTTGCATTTGGATTTTCTTGGTTCTGGACATACCCTTCCACATAGTGGTCATATGTCACCAGGAAACAAGAGCTGGCTGGAAGTTATTTGCAGAAAAACAGGTTATAGACCCTGCTCTCCTCCACGTGTCACACGTTATAGTTGCGTCCTTCACCATTTGAGACCTTCCCCGTTTTATGCTCTTTATTTCCCTGGAGCAGAGGCTCTCTGTCCTCAACCTGAAACGAAACAGTTCTGGTTCTGCCGACAATCGCATGGACTTGTCCTGGGTTTGGGAAAAACATTCTTGTGTATGGGTGGTCCCCTCCAACCAGAGTCAACATGGACTCCTCCAGCATTTTATTTCTTTCAGGTTGTTGGTGTGGAGCACATAACGAGGAGGCACCTTTTGAGCAGAGCATTTCTGTAGGAGTGTCACGGGTCAGGACTCCAAGGCAGGTGTGTCTGCCCAGAAGGCCTGCTCCTGTGAGATATGTAGCCTAGTCTTGAGAGAGATTTTTTACTTGGCTGCGCCAAGGAACACATACCAGGCAGAAACCATACACCTGTGGGGCATGTGGGAAATGATTATGTTTTATTGGAAACCTTCCACAGCACCGGAAGCAGGACACTGGAGAGAAACACTTCAGAAGCAGAGCCTCACATGTAAAGAGCTGCAAGTTCTGTGTGTCAAGGAAGCCCTTTACCTGCAGGGAGGTTGGGAAGGACTTCTTGACCAGCTCAGGATCTCTCCAACAATAAGTCAACTTACACTGTGGAGAAGTCAAAGAACAGTACCGAGTGTGTAGTGGGCTTACATGATATAAAAATTCATTATAAATGGGGAAGATGCACGAAAACTTGTGAGAACAAATACACATTTATTTAATACTAGAGAGACCTCTCTAGAACAAGATATTATGTATGTGGTGTGTGTGGGAAGTCTTTTAGCAAAAGGTACCACCTCAATCACCATTGGAGAGTTCACACTGGAAAAGGGCCTTAATGAGTGTGTGGAATGTGGTAAATTATTTAGCAACAAGGCCAATCGCATTCAGCACCACAGAGTTCACACTGGGGAGAGGCCTTATGTGTGCAGGGAATGTGGGAACTTCTTTCCTTACAGATCCAGTCTCTTTAATTACCTGAGGTTTCACAGTGAATCAAGGCCTTATGAGTGTGGGGAATGTGGGAAATCTTTTAGCTAAAGTTCTGTGCTCTTTCAGCATCAGAATTCACACTGGAGAAAGGCCTTTTGAGTATGAGGAAAAAAGCTCTGTTGCTCCTTCAGTGTTGGAAAGTTCACACTGGATGAAGGCCTCATGAATGTGCTGACTGCTCAGGTGGAGGCCCTGTCTCATTGAATGCCAGAAAATTCACATAGCAAACTTAGGGAATTTACGTAGATGTGCAGGGAGTGTGCTAGATCTATATTCTTTATAACACTGGAGGTGGTCCCTTATGAGGGTGCCATCTACCTGAATTTAATCTACATCAGAACAGCCACTAAATTCCAGGTATGTGAGAGGTATGTTTTTAAACTGCCCGGGCCATTGCCAGATTTATGTCCCTCCGTTCTGTTGCAGAAGCTTTTCTATTTCTGCCCCTTGGAAGGTACCCAAGGTGTGTCTCATTCACTAACTACATTGTGTTTAGGGAAGTAAAACTTCCCTGTTCTCCTGTTTGTGAAAGGATATGTGAGAAGCCTGATCATTCATTCTTTTCTCATTTCTTTCTCTCTGATGAGTTAGGCCATGGACCTGACCCAGTTTGGGCCCAGAAGACAATGCTCATGATCTGAAAACATAGACTTCCCAGGGATGTTACTGGTCTCACATGACTCTTGTGATGGAATTTTCCAGCCTCCAAATCACAAACCTAGGAACAGCCTGCCTTCCATTGTTCTGGTTTGTGTGATAATGAAGGCCTTATTTAAGGCACCTTTAATCTTGGGGGCTCTATTCACTGTGTATGTGGCAGTTTGAAAACAACTATTTAAGTTGTTCTGCTGAGAACAACTGAGTTCTGCTAGCATGAACGTGTGACCACCTTTTGTTGGGACCAAACTTTGTGTGCCTCAGATAGGACAGTATTACGGCAGAATATATATAGCTCTCTCATTTTGGCCTAGTTTGCATTGCTGCCCACAGCCTCCCAGGAGAGACTGCAGGGCTTTATGGTCCTTATTTATAGCTTGGATGTCAGGATATTTTGTAGGTTCAGGGGTCAACCTGAGGAGGAGACAGCTGTGACAACCTCTGGTGTTTGTGAGAATTGTTCTCTTATTCACAGGGGATGTGGCATTGTGCTCAGCACTGGTAAGGGAAATCCGTTCCTCGTGTCCTGCAAAGGGGCCATGTGCTCTGGTGTCCAGAATTCTTTAGGGTGGTGCCACTAGTTGAAGGATTATAGGGGGAATCACGATTGTTAAAAACAAACAAACAAAACCCCACTGGAGTTATAGGGAGTGAGGAGACTACAACAAACTAGTTGGAATGGGCCTCTTTTAAAAGGGTGTCCACAAGGTTTAGTCACTATGGCTGTGAAGGGTGAGCAGGTACAGAAATTCTCAGGGTTTCCAGAAGGGTGTATTTTGTGTAGCTTGAGGGCCTGTCAGAAAAAGTAATGTAAAGTTTTTGTGACTCTTGTAGCTTTTTTGGGCACTCTGTCTCAAGGCCATTGCTGTGTAGGGAGGAAAACCAGGGTGTCTGGAGAAAGGAGATGTCTTGGTCAGTGATTGTGGCCTTCATGCGCAGCCTGCATTCCTTTTATTGAATCAAGTGGAAATGGCTTTCATTGTTTACCTTTATTTGTTATCACTGAGGCAAGGCATCCTCTCCTGGGGCATGAGGAGAGATGGTGGAATCAATAGAGGGAGATTTTACAAACCAGTAGGAAATCCAGGTTTTATTTTGAACCATGTTTCTAAAGCTGTGATAAGATATAGATGACATGCAATAAACTGTACATATTTAAACTGTACAGCTCAATAAGTTGAAATTCACTTAACCCAGGAAACTCATCACAATCATGAAAATGGACCTATCCGTCACTCCCGTATTTATGTGCAGCACTTTAATGATGTCTCTCTCTCTCTGCCCTTCAGGCAACCATTGATCTTTATAACAGATTAGTTTGCATTGTCTAGATTTTTATGTGATTGAAATAATAAATTGTTTACCCTTTTTTTCCTCCCATGGGTGCCCTCTGCAGAACGTTTATTTTCAGATTCAGCAATGACACTTACATGAGTAGTTCATTATTTTTATATCGCTGAGAGGTATGATTTTCTATGAAATACCACAGTTTATATATTCATTCATCTGTTTATGGATATTGACTGCTTTATGGTATTGGTTGTTACAAATAAAATTACTACAGACGTTTTAATACAGTTCTTTATGTGGCTGTGTTTCATTTCTCTTGTGTTACTACTTCAGCTGGAATCACAAGCTGGGTGAATGTATTAACTTTTTAAGAAATGTCAAACTGATCTAAAATGGTTCTTTCTACTAGCAGTGTGTAAGAGTTCCACTTCTTCCTTATCTTTGCCAATAGTAGATACAGTTAATCTTTTAAAATTTTGACCCTTTTAATGAATATTTAGCAATTTTATCTCAACTGTGGTTTTAGGTGCATTTCCCTGATGTTTAGCATTTTTTTCATTTGTTTATTTGCCAGATGTTTGTCTTCTTTGGTAGAATGTTGGTTATCTTTTACCTGCTTTTTTTTTTTTTTTAAAGATTTTATTCATTTATTTGACAGAGAGAGAGACGGCAAGAGAGGGAACACAAGCAGGGACAGAGGGAAAGGGAGAAGCAGGCCTCCCGCTGAGCAGGGAGCCAGATGTGGGGCTTGATCCCAGGACCCTGGGATCATGACCTGAGCCGAGGGCAGATGCTTAACGACTGATACACCAGGTGCCCCTTTTACCTGCTTTTTAAAAATGAATTTTGGCAAATAAGATAGTGAAAAAACAAAGATCATGTGTTGTGCCACAAAACAAGTCAACAAATTTAAGAAGATTGAAATAATATCTAGTATCTTTTCTCACCATAGTGGTATTAAAGTAGAAGTAAATAACATGAGGAAAATGGGAAAACTCACAAATAAATGGAAATTAAACAACACACTCCTGAACGACCAGTGGGTCAAAGAAGAAATCAAAAGGGAAATAAAAAATTATCTTGAAACAAATGAAAATGAAAATACAACATACCAAAACTTATAGGATGCAGGGAAAGCAGTTATAAGAAAAGGTTATAGATATAAATATCTACGTTAAAATAAAAGATCTCAAATAAGCAACGTTTGCTTTACACTTCTAGGAACTAGAAAAACAATAAATTAAGCCCAAACTTAGCAGAAGAAAATAAACGATAAAGATTAGAACAGAAATAAATGAAATAGATACTAGAAAAACAATGGAAATTATCAGTGAAACCAAGAATTGTTTTTTTTTGCAAAGAAAAGCAAAATTGACAAAACTAGCTAGATTAACCAATGTAAAAAAGAGAAAGGATCCCATTAAAATTATATAAAAAGTGAAGCCTTGGAGCACGTGGGTGGCCTAGTCGGTTAAGCATCTGCCTTCGGCTTAGGTCATGATCCCACGGTCCTGGGATCGAGTCCCGCATCGGGCTCCCTGCTCACTGGGGAGACTACTTCTCCCTCTCTCTCTGCCTGATGCTCCCCCTGCTTGTGTGCTCTCTGTCAGATAAATAAATAAAATCTCAAAAAAAAAAAAAAAAAAGTGGAGGCTTTACAGCTGATACCACAGAAATAAAAGGATCACAAGAGACTTCTGTGAAAAAGCACAGAGCGCTGAGTAAGACTGTAAAGCAGGAAGGTTTGGTGTTTTGAGGTCCAACTATTGACCGCAGTGACCCAGGCGCCCCCACATATTTTTCAAAAGTTGGGAAGACAGCTTTCCACATCACAAAGGACATTTGTGTCTTCTTGCACATGCACAGTCTATCAAGACAGAATTCCATGGTCCCTTAGATGTTAGGTTGTTTTGTTTCATTTGAAACAGTATTTCTTCTCTCAAACACTTAAGTTTCCTACCAGATTTTAAATGTATAGTATATGAGCACTGACACCATTTGTAAAACAAATGAACTCATAGCAAACATCAGTTGCCTCATCCCTGGAATCCAGTCACTCAGATCCAAATAGAACTAAAAGGTTTAAAAAGATATTTGTGAGGGGGCGCCTAGGTGGCTCAGTCGGTTAAGCGGCTGCCTTCGGCTCAGGTCATGATCCCAGGGTCCTGGGATCGAGCCCCACGTCCGGCTCCCTGCTCAGTGGAGAGCCTGCTTCTCCCTCTCTCTCTGCCTGCCTCTCTGCCTACTTGTGCTTTCTCTCTCTGTGTCAAATAAATAAAATCTTTAAAAAAAAAAAAAAGATATTTATGAGTAGGAGGAATGGAAAGAGCAAAGTGGTCAAGAGAAAGGATG